GCAGGAGGGGGCGAAAAATATCCGTGTCTGAACCGATGCTCGAACCCGGACTTTCCGCTTCGGAGTCGAGCGCACTAACCGCTCCGGGCAAAATTCAAAATTTCCTACCAACTAAAAATAGTAGGTGTGTCCCGCGCGCTCATATGACCTTATGCAGTTGCGAGCGCCGTAAAACACTTTACAAAACAAAAGCACTAACCGCTCCGCCACCACACCCTCGAAATGTAGGTACAATTGTTAAAAGCAGAAAAATGAATGGGTTTTGTTCTAGAGCAGCAAAACGCGACGACACAAATATAATACTGTTATTAATAGATCTATATCACATTATAATTTTGAGCCAAAGATTCGAGCTGTGACTAGAGGGTGATAACTAAAGAAAAGGAGGAGAGAAAAGAACGATCAGCCACTCATCAAAAACAAGATGAAATTAAAGAAACGGACACTTTTCCTCCAGCTAGGCCATTTTTATCGATCTATTTCTTTTTAAATATTTTTTCTCTATATTTTTTGGGCTCAACATCTTTTACGTGCATTAAAAACTCGTCCTCTCCCCGAGGCGGTACCACTGACTGAAGTGTCTTTAGGCCATTCCCAAAGGGGGGACATTTCTCGTTCGTGCACAGTAGAATTGTAAATGGGCTGATTCATCATGTCACGCTCAGTTGACGAAATTTTGGGGCACATATTACAAAAAAACTTGAATATTTCCACAAATTAGCAATATTTCCCTATTCCCTCACATAGATCCCTAGAATAGATCTTAAAGCACATGTACGCCAAATGTTAAGCTTCTAGCTTAAGCAGTTTTTGAAAACTCCTTGCATCAAGGAGGTCACATACGTCAAAAGTAAATTTTGAGAAAAACAGGAGATTTTTAAAAGGATTTTTAGTACAATTTGCACTTTTCAAACGCCCATTTAAGTCATTTAGGGAGTTTTTTCAACAGTTTCGTCATTGTGACCAGACAGAACAGATGTCAAAGGATGTTTTTCCTCAAAAAACAAAAGTTAGATAGTTTGAAAAATTGTATCCACATTGTCTGGGATCGCCGACCCGTGTCTTCCCTATCTGTACGCCCTGGGGTCATTTTGTACCTCAGGGGTTGTGTTCTTCACATTTTACAATACTTCCAGTGCGAAGACCTCTTTGAAACGTTCATGTTTTTTCAAAAAGTCGTTTTGACAGACTGCTATGCAAAGCGTACGGATCGGATTAACGAGTAAATTTCCTCTTTGGAAAGTGGTGGCACAGAGTTCCCCACGTCGTAAGGATACGATAGTAAAACACGACGTACGGATAGGGTTAAGATAGATGGATATTGTTTTTTTTGGGACCAAAAAGCAAAACTCAAAAGGCCAAAGAAACAGACAAGCCTCTCGGGTTTCATTTTAGCTCTTCGTCTTTCTTATACGGGGTACCCATTGCTAATGGGATCAGGTCGGGTCGGGTCGGGTGCTATCGGATCGGATCGGGGGTGATCTCCCCATACACCCCACCCAACCCCGCCCACCACCCACCAACCACCCCTCACTCACACAACCACGCATGTCCCCCAACCCCCCAACCCCCCTCCACACAC